AGTTTTGAGGACTTTTTCCTAGAGATTCAATGTAAAAAATACTAAAAACTCAAAGGGATTGAATTGAGTTATTATTAATGGAGTTATGACTTTTCTAAAATAATGAAGTTTTGTAAAGTAATACTCTACAAACAATTTTTTCACTCAAAAACTGAAGTGAGTGTAGAGTTGAAGTTTTGAGGACTTTTTCCTAAAGATTCAATGTAAAAAATACTAAAAACTCAAAGGGATTGAATTGAGTTATTATTAATGGAGTTATAACTTTTCTAAAATAATGAAGTTTTGTAAAGTAATACTCTACAAATAATTTTTTCACTCAAAAACTGAAGTGAGTGTAAAGTTGAAGTTTTGAGGACTTTTTCCTAAAGATTCAATGTAAAAAATATTAAAAACTCAAAGGGATTGAATTGAGTTATTATTAATGGAGTTATGACTTTTCTAAAATAATGAAGTTTTGTAAAGTAATACTCTACAAACAATTTTTTCACTCAAAAACTGAAGTGAGTGTAGAGTTGAAGTTTTGAGGACTTTTTCCTAAAGATTCAATGTAAAAAATATTAAAAACTCAAAGGGATTGAATTGAGTTATTATTAATGGAGTTATGACTTTTTTTAAATAATGATTATTTGTAAAGTAATACACTCTACAAACAATTTTGTCACTCAAAAACTGAAGTGAGTGTAGAGTTGAAATTTTGAGGACTTTTTCCTGAAGACTCAACGTAAAAAATACCAAAAACTCAAAGGAATTGAATTGAGTTATTATTAATGGAGTTATGACTTTTCTAAAATAATGAAGTTTTGTAAAGTAATACTCTACAAACAATTTTTTCACTCAAAAACTGAAGTGAGTGTAAAGTTGAAGTTTTGAGGACTTTTTCCTAGAGATTCAATGTAAAAAATACTAAAAACTCAAAGGGATTGAATTGAGGTATTATTAATGGAGTTATGACTTTTCTAAAATAATGAAGTTTTGTAAAGTAATACTCTACAAATAATTTTTTCACTCAAAAACTGAAGTGAGTGTAAAGTTGAAGTTTTGAGGACTTTTTCCTAAAGATTCAATGTAAAAAATACTAAAAACTCAAAGGGATTGAATTGAGTTATTATTAATGGAGTTATGACTTTTCTAAAATAATGAAGTTTTGTAAAGTAATACTCTACAAACAATTTTTTCACTCAAAAACTGAAGTGAGTGTAGAGTTGAAGTTTTGAGGACTTTTTCCTAAAGATTCAATGTAAAAAATACTAAAAACTCAAAGGGATTGAATTGAGTTATTATTAATGGAGTTATAACTTTTCTAAAATAATGAAGTTTTGTAAAGTAATACTCTACAAACAATTTTTTCACTCAAAAACTGAAGTGAGTGTAAAGTTGAAGTTTTGAGGACTTTTTCCTAAAGATTCAATGTAAAAAATACTAAAAACTCAAAGGGATTCAATTGAGTTATTATTAATGGAGTTATAACTTTTCTAAAATAATGAAGTTTTGTAAAGTAATACTCTACAAACAATTTTTTCACTCAAAAACTGAAGTGAGTGTAAAGTTGAAGTTTTGAGGACTTTTTCCTAAAGATTCAATGTAAAAAATACTAAAAACTCAAAGGGATTCAATTGAGTTATTATTAATGGAGTTATAACTTTTCTAAAATAATGAAGTTTTGTAAAGTAATACTCTACAAACAATTTTTTCACTCAAAAACTGAAGTGAGTGTAAAGTTGAAGTTTTGAGGACTTTTTCCTAAAGATTCAATGTAAAAAATACTAAAAACTCAAAGGGATTGAATTGAGTTATTATTAATGGAGTTATAACTTTTCTAAAATAATGAAGTTTTGTAAAGTAATACTCTACAAATAATTTTTTCACTCAAAAACTGAAGTGAGTGTAAAGTTGCAGTTTTGAGGACTTTTTCCTAAAGATTCAATGTAAAAAATACTAAAAACTCAAAGGGATTGAATTGAGTTATTATTAATGGAGTTATGACTTTTCTAAAATAATGAAGTTTTGTAAAGTAATACCCTACAAACAATTTTTTCACTCAAAAACTGAAGTGAGTGTAGAGTTGAAATTTTGAGGACTTTTTCCTAAAGATTCAATGTAAAAAATACTAAAAACTCAAAGGGATTGAATTGAGTTATTATTAATGGAGTTATAACTTTTCTAAAATAATGAAGTTTTGTAAAGTAATACTCTACAAACAATTTTTTCACTCAAAAACTGAAGTGAGTGTAAAGTTGAAGTTTTGAGGACTTTTTCCTAAAGATTCAATGTAAAAAATACTAAAAACTCAAAGGGATTGAATTGAGTTATTATTAATGGAGTTATAACTTTTCTAAAATAATGAAGTTTTGTAAAGTAATACTCTACAAATAATTTTTTCACTCAAAAACTGAAGTGAGTGTAGAGTTGAAATTTTGAGGTCTTTTTCCTGAAGATTCATTGTGAAAAATACTAAAATCTCAAAGGGATTGAATTGAGTTATTATTAATGGAGTTATGACTTTTCTAATATAATGAAGTTTTGTAAAGTAATACTCTACAAACAATTTTCTCACTCAAAAACTGAAGTGAGTGTAGAGTTGAAATTTTGAGGTCTTTTTCCTAAAGATTCAATGTAAAAAATACTTAAAACTCAAAGGGATTGAATTGAGTTATTATTAATGGAGTTATGACTTTTCTAATATAATGAAGTTTTGTAAAGTAATACTCTACAAACAATTTTCTCACTCAAAAACTGAAGTGAGTGTAGAGTTGAAATTTTGAGGTCTTTTTCCTAAAGATTCAATGTAAAAAATACTAAAAACTCAAAGGGATTGAATTGAGTTATTATTAATGGAGTTATGACTTTTCTAAAATAATGAAGTTTTGTAAAGTAATACTCTACAAACAATTTTTTCACTCAAAAACTGAAGTGAGTGGAGAGTTGAAATTTTGAGGACTTTTTCTTGCTTTGTGCATTAAATTTTCCAGATTGCAGGTGGATTAATAGAGATGGTGTATGTAATCCACCTGCAATCCAATGCACGGGCTACGTTAATCACCCTGTATATACATGAAGAATTTTTTCTGCCGCTGTGTTATTGTTTTCAGGTGAGCCCCCCCTGTAAACAAACAGAATCCAGAAGTCGTCGGATGACTCTAAGAGTCTATAATAAGAATCTTCTTCTGGACGGATTTTTGTTAAAGGTAAGTACATATTCATCAATTTCCCATTTTATTATTTTTCACTGAAAAAGTTTGAAATTTTAGTCTGATGATCTCCTAACTTTCCTCTTCTTCTCCTAAAAATTTCACAATTTTCCCTCTAGTAGTTTTCCAGAAAAAATTAAATTGTATAAAAGTGCATTTTCGTTTGATATCCATAAAAATTGTGTCACTTTTATTTCTTAGGTAAGCCGTTACCCAATAAAGTCCAGAATCATTCTGAGCCCAAGTAGAATATTAGGCTATTAATTATTTCTGGTAAAAATCCTAATTGTGGTTTGTAAGTGCAAGGTAATAGTACATTTTTCACATATACAATAGAACCTCGATTATCCGAGCTCTGGATTAATCGAGCCAGTCTAAAGACCCAAAAATCCGAGGTCCATACTCCGTATTAACCGAGTTTCTAGAATATACCATACATAGTATAAAAGTTCTGAGACCTATTTAGCCCTTAGACTGATACCCTAGAAAATAACTTCTGTTTATAACTGGCCAGTCACGAATTCATAGGTATACATATATGTACATTCGGATTATCCGAGTTTTCAGTTATCCGAGTTCCACGTTACTTTGGATAACCGGGGTTCTATTGTACCTACCTACATTAGTGCATTAGTATTTTGGGTGTTGGATATTGGAAGCTAAATAAATAAGTAATTTTTAATATAAAACATTGAATTTTCACTAACATAAAGTTGTTTTTCCAGACATCTCTTTTCTAAATTTTGAACCATGAAGTGATAAGCTGGTTTTGGTCATGGATATGATACAAATGGATCAATAATAAAGGCTAGGTTTATCATTACTTTGGACATTGTACAGCCACTCTAGACATGGGACAAATAACTAGGATTTGTGGACATTGAAACAAATGACTGACAATGGTAGACGTAGCCACAACCGACTAGACAATGATGGACATGACTGCATGGATCCAAACTTTTATTACTTTTCTCTTCCAGGTGAAATTACATAATATGTGTCAATTCCCGAAAAACAGTTCATGATTCGACTGAATCTTTAAAGCAGGGAAGCCCCGGGGGAGCCTAATGCCATAGTTGTCCTGGACCTCATTTGTTGCACTAATATACACCGTAATTATGGTAAGTGTTTACAGTGGTGCCTTCCTAGCTGGCGAGTGAAGGTTGAATTAATGGATAGTTGACGGTTTTGGCTGTACAAGTGTAATTTCAAAGTGCATTAGGCCTAACGGGGAAAGCACTTGAAAAAAAAAAAAAACGCACCGACAGCTCGTACCTCTAGGGTGGTGTGGAAATTGGGCTTGAAGTTACAATTTTGAAACTTAACAAGGTAAGTTATTGAAAATAAAACTTTCTTTATTAAAATTATAAACTTTTTGTTATAGAGCAGTACTAATAACCGAGAGTTTTAAGCTTAAATCTGCAAGACTTGTGACTGGAATCCAGAATTTTATGAAGTCATGGTAAAAATCCTGGTAAGTTTTTTTTCATTTTGGACATTGGAATCAAGAATTAGACCTATTTCCAAATTGGGGAAAAGATGGCTTTTCAATGTTTCAAGTTTGAGTTCATTTTTCCAGGAAAAAGAGATCTCAGATCAACTTCCAACTTCCAGAAACAAAATTCAAGTTTGGAAAATTTGTTTTCTTGATTTATATAGTTTTTTGGATCTATTTTGGCTATGGAAGTTGTGTTTGCGACAATAAGTTAATGAAAATAAGAAAAAATTATAAGTCCATGTAGGAAATTTGAGACTTTATTATTTAGTTCGTTTTTGAATTTTGTGATTATAAAAATATTAATTATCTCTTACCTTTCTTATATTCTTATTAGGATCAGTACATCTGGGTACAACCCTGGCCAACAACAATCCAGTCTGACTGAAACTTGTCGGTAAATCATGGGCAAACCTCATATTATCCAAATACGATTGAAGCACCAGCCTTAAAGTTTCTATTGCCGGCAATCTTTGCTCCTGCTTTTTTTTGGCCAACCACATTTCTAACAAAGTTACTATTTCATCTAAAGTTGCCGGAGAGAGGTTTTGCAACAACAACTCTTGCACAAACTGATTCAGTTCGCCAAAACTTTTAGTGACACTGGGGACTAATTTTAAATCTCCATAATAATTATTGGTGTCTGAATTGCTGGGATTTATTTTACAATAAATTGCTGAAGCGTTGTAGATGTTATCGAAAAATAGCTTCATTAAGCGAATTCTTTCTTGTGATTCTAATGGCAAAGGCAACTTTATTAGTGCTGTCATTGCAGATATTATAATAGGAAACATTTCAATATATTCAGGCCCATTATGTAAATGCATTTGATTGAAAACAGCTTCAATAACCTTATCCCTTTCATTCATTTTTATATGCAACTTATTTCTGTTTGGGTGCATTGCATCAGCAATACTATTAATCGCCTTCAAACAAACACGCCTAATGGCAAACTCTTTACAATTCGATAGTTCGTTTAAAACAAAATCCAAAATTTCGCTTTCAACTACCCTCAATAACTGATCGCTAGGAGCTTCGTTACACACCTCAGCATAGCTGTAAATAATCACGTAGCGTTCCAATCCAAGCTCGTGAGTTTGGTTTTTGACAAACGAAAACAGTTTTGAGGATTTTTTTGTGAGAAGTTCTCGTCTGATTTGAGCCAGTTTTTCCAGAACTAAATCCAAATGGACACGGGAGGCGATTCCTACGGCTTCTGCGCAGGCGTGCAATTCAGTGTAATCGGTCAAACGTACATTGACTAGTAAAACGTCTAGGGTTTGTAAGACTGACTCTTTGGATTTCAGGTAGCACAGGATGAGGGCGATGAATTTCATTAGGAAACGTTTTTCGGCGAATTTTGTTTGGATTTCGTCTTTGTCCATGTTGGGGGTGTTTCTGAAAAAGAAGCGCTTTATATACAATATTCAATCTAGAAATTCTTATTTATTTCAATTACAAAATAAATGGAAAAAAACTTTAAATATGAAAGTTGTAGGGTTTCCCTGACGTTTTTATTCTCATCAAATTTTACCGATGGATCCACCATTCTATGTCGGTCATTGTCATTTTCCATTCACTAATATTATTGCAGAGAAAAATACCATACTGCATAACCGAGTACATAACATACACTAAAAAAAAAACTTTCCAACAAGAATTCTTTGGGTAAATAGGAACTAATAATTTAAAATTTTATTTCGAAAGTACGCAGATTAACAAATTATTTGAAGAATATAAAAAGTCAAGTACAGGTACTTATAGATACAGCGTCTAAAATCAAAATTTTTTTTTCTTCACTTTTTGCTCCTACCATTATCTTCTTTTTACCTCTTACAGAATCATGAAATTCTTTGCATTGCAAGTATCAGGTACGTGCATCAGTCCACAAAGATGAATGTTTATGATTAAAACGTTGGGAAATTTATTCTGGAGAGTCGCGGACTGTAAACGCGTCGAAATTTGATCGCGGAACCATACAAAGGCAATATTAGATAAGGCACCTACCTTGGAGTTGCACAGGGTTGTGCTATGCGCTGGTGTTGGCGCCTCACAGGAGCTCCTGTTTCATAAACAACGTAATCCCACTGGTCACTTCGAAAACGGGTAGATAATTGAGTTTCTAATGAATATTTTTGGAGAGTTTTTGATTCAAAATATGTAGTCTTGGCTACGGACGCGCGACCTCGCATTACTCGAACTCGACTGCTTCGAAGGTCGTAGCGTATATATGGTGCCGAATGGTTTGAAATTGTATGGTTTTTTTTATGTCAATATCGAATTTTAAATATACAAACAAATTCCCCTTTTTCCCAAACATGAACGCATTGAAAATAGTTATTTATGTGCGACAATCACATGAGTGAAAAAAGGTGCTTTACGCACGTATTGCATACAAAATTTTTTCTACTATGAATCAAATATGTGTAGAAAAATAGATTTAGACAAATACTTTACGCACTAGTGCGTGAAGTATTTTCACTTTACGCACCAGTGCGTGAAGTAATTTACCAGAAAAATACTAAATTGACAGTTTGACATCTGTCATTGACATTACTTTACGCACTAGTGTGTGAAGTGAATTACTTTACGCACTAGAAAGCATAAAAAGTCTTGTTTTTACTAACGTTTTAAACGACTTCAAACTAATTGTATTTTCTAGTACAAATTTTTTTAAATCGGTTGGCAAGTGATTAAATACTCGGAAATAAATACATGTGATATCTCTCGCTCTTATTTATGCTCCTAATATAGGCCAAGCAATGAAGGAAGTTTACCTCAACATAATTAGAAGTTAAAATTTTTTGGGGGGGATTGGTCCATTTTAATATGCTTAATAACATATTAAGTTTGCGACCTTGTACTTCCCTAGGGTTTTTAGTTAGGGGTGGTTTTTAGGGGTAATTTGCGGTTTATTGAGAACGCTGCTTAAAGGGATGGTCCAATAACAAAAAGTTTCAAATGATTGTTGTAGCTGAAGTTTTTTGCTATATAAAACTTCGCGACAGCACCCCTTCATCTTCTATAGTTTTTTTTCTGCAGCGTCTTGAATAGTAGCATGTTTTTGTTCAAGGTCAGTGAATCAACGTTTGGCCTGTTTACGCGCATTTCATGCAGTAGCGGCCGAATGCATAATCCGATTTCAATTTTTCAAACACCACATTATTGCTAATGAAATGCACTCTCCATTGCTTTTTTGTTCGAATTTTTTGCTCGAAAATTAACCGAGCACGGACTTGTCTAATGTGCGAGGAAGTTGTAAATTGCATCGAAAACTACCCCTTTCTTGCATTCACTGTAATTTCTAAACGGGGCCAAATATTTGGTGACAGTTTTCGACAATCGACAGCCCATTTATTCCTCTCATATTGCCCCAGCGGATTTTTTTTTTCGTTGATTACTCAATGACTTATTGGCCAGAACACGTCGAGCGGAATTTTTCAAAAAGTCAAAAAAAATTAAAATTGTCGCACAGCGCTGAAATTTGGTACGATGGCTTTATTTATTGTTCTCATGAATATACTGTAATTTAAATTGTTGCAGCAGTCATGTGATGCGATTGGGGTGATTTATCAATTTTTCAATTTTTCTGAGTGCCTTTTTTCATAGATTTCGGCTTCAAATCTGAGAATAATTCAGTTTATGGAGTTCAGGGTATCACGAAGGACCAGTAGAACACAAAATCTCGACAAAAAAAAATTTGAAATTTCATCATTTTAGTAAGAAGGTACCCCCCTTATGATTTTTTTGGAAAACTTTGATAGGTCGTAATTTTTTTTCTATTATAGATAGGAAGCTGAATTTTTCACTGAATTTTATCCCTTTCAAAGGACTACAATCCCTGAAAATTTCAGCTCATTTGCACTTATAGTTCCTGAGATAAAATCGTGTTAAACAATTGGGGTGATTTATCAATTTTTCAATTTTTCTGAGTGCCTTTTGTCATAAATTTCCGCTTCAAATCTGAGAATAATTCAGTTTATGGAGTTCAGGGTATCACGAGGGACCAGTAGGACACAAAATCTCGACAAAAAAAAATTTGAAATTTCATCATTTTAGTAAGAAGGTACCCCCCTTATGATTTTTTTGGAAAACTTTGATAGGTCGTAATTTTTTTTCTATTATAGATAGGAAGCTGAATTTTTCACTGAATTTTATCCCTTTCAAAGGACTACAATCCCTGAAAATTTCAGCTCATTTGCACTTATAGTTCCTGAGATAAAATCGTGTTAAGCAATTGGGGTGATTTATCAATTTTTCAATTTTTCTGAGTGCCTTTTTTCATAGATTTCGGCTTCAAATCTGAGAATAATTCAGTTTATGGAGTTCAGGGTATCACGAAGGACCAGTAGGACACAAAATCTCGACAAAAAAAAATTTGAAATTTCATCATTTTAGTAAGAAGGTACCCCCCTTATGATTTTTTTGGAAAACTTTGATAGGTCGTAATTTTTTTTCTATTATAGATAGGAAGCTGAATTTTTCACTGAATTTTATCCCTTTCAAAGGACTACAATCCCTGAAAATTTCAGCTCATTTGCACTTATAGTTCCTGAGATAAAATCGTGTTAAGCAATTGGGGTGATTTATCAATTTTTCAATTTTTCTGAGTGCCTTTTTTCATAGATTTCGGCTTCAAATCTGAGAATAATTCAGTTTATGGAGTTCAGGGTATCACGAAGGACCAGTAGGACACAAAATCTCGACAAAAAAAAATTTGAAATTTCATCATTTTAGTAAGAAGGTACCCCCCTTATGATTTTTTTGGAAAACTTTGATAGGTCGTAATTTTTTTTCTATTATAGATAGGAAGCTGAATCTTTCACTGAATTTTATCCCTTTCAAAGGACTACAATCCCTGAAAATTTCAGCTCATTTGCACTTATAGTTCCTGAGATAAAATCGTGTTAAGCAATTGGGGTGATTTATCAATTTTCCAATTTTTCTGAGAGCCTTTTGTCATAAATTTCCGCTTCAAATCTGAGAATAATTCAGTTTATGGAGTTCAGGGTATCACGAAGGACCAGTAGGACACAAAATCTCGACAAAAAAAAATTTGAAATTTCATCATTTTAGTAAGAAGGTACCCCCCTTATGATTTTTTTGGAAAACTTTGATAGGTCGTAATTTTTTTTCTATTATAGATAGGAAGCTGAATCTTTCACTGAATTTTATCCCTTTCAAAGGACTACAATCCCTGAAAATTTCAGCTCATTTGCACTTATAGTTCCTGAGATAAAATCGTGTTAAGCAATTGGGGTGATTTATCAATTTTCCAATTTTTCTGAGAGCCTTTTGTCATAAATTTCCGCTTCAAATCTGAGAATAATTCAGTTTATGGAGTTCAGGGTATCACGAAGGACCAGTAGGACACAAAATCTCGACAAAAAAAAATTTGAAATTTCATCATTTTAGTAAGAAGGTACCCCCCTTATGATTTTTTTGGAAAACTTTGATAGGTCGTAATTTTTTTTCTATTATAGATAGGAAGCTGAATTTTTCACTGAATTTTATCCCTTTCAAAGGACTACAATCCCTGAAAATTTCAGCTCATTTGCACTTATAGTTCCTGAGATAAAATCGTGTTAAGCAATTGGGGTGATTTATCAATTTTTCAATTTTTCTGAGTGCCTTTTTTCATAGATTTCGGCTTCAAATCTGAGAATAATTCAGTTTATGGAGTTCAGGGTATCACGAAGGACCAGTAGGACACAAAATCTCGACAAAAAAAAATTTGAAATTTCATCATTTTAGTAAGAAGGTACCCCCCTTATGATTTTTTTGGAAAACTTTGATAGGTCGTAATTTTTTTTCTATTATAGATAGGAAGCTGAATCTTTCACTGAATTTTATCCCTTTCAAAGGACTACAATCCCTGAAAATTTCAGCTCATTTGCACTTATAGTTCCTGAGATAAAATCGTGTTAAGCAATTGGGGTGATTTATCAATTTTCCAATTTTTCTGAGAGCCTTTTGTCATAAATTTCCGCTTCAAATCTGAGAATAATTCAGTTTATGGAGTTCAGGGTATCACGAAGGACCAGTAGGACACAAAATCTCGACAAAAAAAAATTTGAAATTTCATCATTTTAGTAAGAAGGTACCCCCCTTATGATTTTTTTGGAAAACTTTGATAGGTCGTAATTTTTTTTCTATTATAGATAGGAAGCTGAATTTTTCACTGAATTTTATCCCTTTCAAAGGACTACAATCCCTGAAAATTTCAGCTCATTTGCACTTATAGTTCCTGAGATAAAATCGTGTTAAGCAATTGGGGTGATTTATCAATTTTTCAATTTTTCTGAGTGCCTTTTTTCATAGATTTCGGCTTCAAATCTGAGAATAATTCAGTTTATGGAGTTCAGGGTATCACGAAGGACCAGTAGGACACAAAATCT